CACCATAATATAAATTATCGCATCATCGATCATACAGAATCGTATGTACTAAATAAGAAACGCAATCAATCACGCGATATCAAATCATCAAAAAAGAATATTTATGCAATCTGTCGCACGTCCTGTCATCCTCAAGAATCGTTCAAGCTTTCCAATTTATATTTCTTCGAATTCTTTCGTAGTTCAAGACAGCAGAACAAGTTGTCTACTATTGGAAACGATTTCTATCCTGAGGAATAGGAAAACGAATCGTGTCCAAAGTGGCGGGACGTTGTTCCCTTCCAAGGTAATAGGACATGATTCTCGTGTCTCGTGATAACGAACCATCGAGAGCAGCTTCTTTTTACCTCGACAATCAGGTCATTGGGCCTGGAACACCAGTGGGAATAGCAGAATGCCGCGAACCACTCGAACCGCTCCTTCAGCAATCCATTTCTCTCGGCTCTTTCCTTTCTAACGGCAGCCAGCCGCAGTATCGACGTCAGTAGTACGAAAAATGACGTCACCAGACGCATAGAAATATATGTGTATTGGATTCTGACATATGTAATGTTCGTCGTATTATTCGTTTTTTAACACATGTGGATAAAGAACTCTGGTGATACTCTGGCTGTGTACGGAAATCTTTCGGAGATTACGACGATGCCAAGTGCGATCTCTGATTCCTATTAGACGTGATACTAGCGGAATATGTGAATATTTATGCGAATTTAAATTTTTATCGATTAAATAAAATGATATCTAAATAAAAATTCGTTTCATCATCGTGTAAATATTGTAATGAGTATTTTATATATTTTTGTATATTGTATATTATAATTTATTTTTCTAAAAAATAAAAAGTAAAAATTCATAGATTAATTGTTAGATAAACGTAAGATACTATGTATTTAAATGATTGATCATGATGCAAAGCTGGTATTAATTCTAATAAGCTCATCATGTTGCAATGATTTACTGTGTATTTTTTGTTCATCAAATTTTTTCAAACTATCGGAAAGATGTTCGAAAAAACATGAGAATTCAAAAGAATTCTTGAAACTCTCGAATGTAAAGTTCCTTCAGCTATTAATTATTAATAACGTGTATTTTACTTTGATATCGAGTATATATTTTGTATATTTTAAAGAATTTTTTCTAGAAGATAAATTTCTCCTACTAGATATTTCATCTATTTCACACTTGAGCTTGAGATTTTTAATTTTTTTTTTGATAATTTTCTTTCTTGAAAGAAGAAGTTCCTTATGTCTGCGCCAATGTGTTGCCATATCGCATCCACCACTCGACAATTAGAAAGGCATTGTGGAAACGCGCTTTTCAAAAGAGACTGGTCGATATTACGACTTAGAATCAGTGAAGGGAAAAGGAATTCGTTCTTATCATTCTCAAGGTAATGTCACGAGGTCAAGGTAAAAGTAAATACATTCACCCTGGGCAACTATTATTTGTTAATTAAACGCTAATTTTCCATATCTTAAACGCGTGTTCCGATTAAATATCTGTCCTACACTGTCTGCACCATTCCTTTATATAATTTGTTACACTTTCATGACAAATTTTATCTATTTTAATCTCATTAAAATCATTCCTTTCGAATTTTTTCAAAAATCAATCCATATTATAAATCTCTAATTTCCAAGAAGATATTCCAAGAGAAATCAATTAAATTGTCGTAAACGTCATCACGACGTGAATTACGATTCGACGTAAAATATGAAGAAGTTCAAAGGAGGTAACGTTATTAATTGTGACGGTACTAATGAGTACGTCTTCACCCTCACGTGTCACGTGTCAAAGAAGTGTCACTTTAAGGTAGAACACTGATTAGACCTCGACTGTTTCTCTGTTAATGATATTTATCAACGTGATCCACCTTAATGAGAATAATTATGCCCAATAACTATTTGATCGTAAGAATGATATTCATAACTTCGATTGAAGATATTTTTCCAAAATTTATCCAATTTCTCTATCAATCTTTAACGTCATAGAAACACTCATTCTTCTCATTTTGATAATCATAAGCATTGTTCATTTATTTTGCGCAATAACTATCTCTAATATAAAACAATTTTGTCTTTGAGATAGAGACACGCAATAGACGTGTTTTCAACAATGAAAAGTTTCTAAGGATCATTGATAACGATCGGGGCCATATTTGATATCGAGTCACTCTTGCGAACAAGTGCATCATTTCGTAGATATAATATTTTTAATAACATTTTACGTTTATCATTTTAATTTTATTTAAAATTACGATCAAAAAGCGATTTTTATTGTGTCTTCATTCCTCGTAGTTTAAATTACGATTATATTAGATTACTATTTATAGATACGTTTCATTCAATTCTGATCAAATAAAGAAACAAAAATTCAAGAAGTATGCGCATCTTTTCACGTTCATCATTACATTCATTTTCCTCTTTATATTGTAATTTCGAGGAAATGGCTACACAGACACATACTCGTGTATTGGCTCGCGCGCGCGGTGGTCCTCGTGCGTGTATATATGTATACCTTCTCGAAGAACGGCCACTTGACGATGCATGAGCGGCGCGAACACGTAGCATTCTATTCGCGGCACAATTTTCGAGGATCGATATATCGAGCGGCGTGTCCCGTCGGTCGACGACGATGTCTTCAAATAGCACGGTAGTTAACGTCTCTAAGAGTTACCCTCGAGAAGGGTGGGCGAGAGGGAAGACTGCAGGATCCTTTCCCCTTTCGACTTCGATTCTTTTTGCTTTCTCTTCCCCGTCGTCATCGATGACGTTCCTTCCCACATCCCATCTTCTTTCGTTGTGCTCGAGTTCGTCTCTTTTCGTTATTTTTTTCTCGATCTCGATCGTTAAAAGTCGAAAATGGTACTCGAGTTAAATTCGAGAATCATTTGAGACGCAAAGAAAGATTAATAGATACATTTATTGTATTATTAATTTTGCAAGTTTCTTCTTCGTGTAAGTAATTATTTTAAATTAAATTTAATAAAATTAAATTAGCGATTATATTTTTTCGTTTCCCTATTTAGTCAGTCGAGATCTTGTCAGAGAATGCGAGAATTGAGATGATTTTGGTTCTTTAAGTTGCAACGGCAATTCAAAGAGACGCGGCGTGCATAAAAGAAATGCAGCGGCACCTTGATATTCTGTACTTTTCACTACTCGTTACGTGCATCTCCGTAGAGGATTCTAACACTAAATAAACACGCGCAATGAATCGTACTAATGGATCTTTCAAAAACAGTTTAGATTAAAAATGCGGAATTTTTTAGAAAATAATAATTAACTTTCAATGATCGAATAGTAATCTATACAACAAAATTATTTTGAAAAATGAATTTAAAATTTACAAAAGAATTTCTAGAATTCTTTTGCATCAACAATATTAATTATCTGAACGATCGTTATCCATATAATTTTTTCTCAAATCTGATTCGAATGTCCTCTTCTAAAATCTCCAATCCTTAATTCTCCCCCTTTTCCTCCCTCTCCTCCCAAAAAAAGCAAACCTATCTCTCTATACATCCGACATCATATCAAAATAACTAACTGACGTGCGTTCCCCCTCAATCGTGCGTTATTCTCCCCCCCTTTAACCATTCTCATCTTTAGCAATTAGCGCGTTAAATGTGTTCGAATCGCGAAGCATATCCATATCTAAAGCGGTGGATGCCACGGTGCATGCCGCATTGGGGTAAATTCGTGTCGTTGGAACCATCTCTCGTGACGCTTTACGGACCCACCGGGGATTACCACCACCTTCTTTTTCCACGCCACGTCCTCCCTTTCTCTCTCTCTCTCTCTCTCTCTCTCTCTCTCTCTCTCTCTCTCTCT